AGTGCTGAAATCTCATAAACTGATGCTTGCAAGGACCACTAAAAGCTTGTCTGGGTGTTTTTTGGAGGCCTTGACATCTAAAACTGTTTCTCAGTATCTGATTTTTTCTGCTTATCAGCACCTGTCCTATGAAAGAGTCTTCAAACCCTCACATTGGAACAGAGAAGATGAGAGACCACAGTTCTACAGGGACCTGGTGCACTGGGAATCAGCTTGATTTAAAGAAAAAAAAAAAAAAAAAAAAAAAAAAAAAAAAAAAAAAAAAAAAAAAAAAAAAAAAAAAGTATGTATCATGTGGTTTATTTTCGTGTTAAAATCTGTTTAGACTGAAGTAAATTGTTTAAACACTCCCTGAGCCACTTCATGATGCTCAGAGAAGCTGACAGAGCAGAGGTGGTTGACTGGCAGGGAGATCAGCTGAAAACTTTAGGGAACTTTTTAACACTTATAAGAACTTCAGCAACATCTCCACAGAACAGCTTGTACAATGCCACTGGGTCAGTTCAGTATCTGCTTCACCCCCAGCCTTTGGTAAATACCCAACATATTTGTATCTGTTCTCTAGACCTTTTATCATACTCTTGAGACTTACCGAGGCTTTGTACATTAAAGGTCTTTTACCTTCCTTTTTGGAGACATTGCCCTGAGACTTCCTCTGCAAAATGTTGCAGGGTCTATCCTGAGTTTCCCATATGCTAGGTGAAAGTCCTTTAGCTGACTCTTTTTGAAATATAAAACTGGATTTATCCAGTTAAGCCAAATCTTGAAGTTTGGGGGCTCTCTTCCAGAAATGCCCTATGTCCTGTTTATCCTGATTCTGTGTGTGGAATCAGGAATGGCATGAGGCAGCAGCGATGATTTAGCATAGTCATTTATCAGAATAATTTCTTATATCAGTTATCTGGATGGTTTAAAGAGTGATTCTGCCACTTTTACTGCAGTAACTGGAGCTTGCTGTCCTGCCATAAGAGGCTAACAGCGTGTGGGAAATGCTCTCTGCCTCAGGCTTTAATAGGAGTGGGGTCAGGGAACTCTATGACCACCCCAAAACAAGCCAAGGGACATCTTGCCATCAGAGGATGGAGCAGGAATCTGGCAGAGTGCTCTTCCCTGCTCTTCACCTCTAACTCTGCTCTGAAATCACTTGGTTCTCCATCTCTCTCCTATGACTTATCTAACCCGAAGTCTGTTCCAGGAAAACTAGGCTGCTAAATCATTCCCAGCTCCGGAGAGGAAAGTGTATTCTTGTCAGTGACCTTTCCTGGCCTAGCAGGAAGCAGCACAATCCTCTGGTCAGGAGAGGGGATGGAACAGGAGTCCGAATCGGCCCGACACAAGGGAAGGAAATGCAGTGACTGGGGAAGGGGTGGAGAAAGGGAAGGAGGGAGGAAACTTCCAGGAGGGAAGGAAACAAAAAAAACAACAACACGCCCAAAGCCTCGGCGACGCTAAGGCAGCATCCGCGCCGAGCCCGTGAGCCCGCCCGGGCTGCACCGCACGCGAGCCCCGCCCGCTGCCGCGGCATCCCGGCCCGCAGCCCGGCCTCGCTCTTTGTGCTCCCGGCGGCGGCGGGGGCAGAACGGCGGCGGCGGGGCCGGAGCCCGACTTCCCCCCGAGCGGCTGCGGCAGGCGGGGGCAGCCCTGCCCCGCCGCGTCCCCCCGCTCCCCGCCCGCACCTTCTGGTGCTTCCTCTCCTTCTCGATGCGGTCCATCCTCTCCAGGCGCAGGCGGTCGAGCTCCAGGCGCAGCTCCTCCATCTCGGGGTTGATGTGGTTGCGGCTCACCAGCACCTCCAGGATCTCCAGCACCCGCACCACCTTGGGCATGAGGCGGGCGATGGCCTCGCAGCCGTGCTGATCGATCACCCGCTCAAACTCCTGCCCCACGGCCGAGGCGATGTCGTACACGTCCATGACCGTCAGCTCCGCCGCGTTCTTCTCCAGGGCGGGCGGCACCCCGCCGCCGCCGCCGCCGTCCATGGCTCGCCCGGCCCCGCGGTGCCCGCAT